TCTCTCTCTCTCTCTCTCTCTCTCTCTCTCTCCTCTCTCTGGTTACTTTATCAGCATCGGAAATCACTACATATAACTTTTATATGTATTGCTCTCTTAGAAGCGTAAAACAGGACATTTAAAATTCAAAGAGCATCTAAATTCAACGTTAGTAATATTGAGACTAGCAAACTATAAGAAAAACATGCGACTAACACAAAAACACCATTTTCATCTTTTTAAAAGGTCTTATTCTCTCGAAAAGCGAGTCTAACTATTCTCGGCCACACATTCTTGTAATGAAAATCTAAGCATGAAAGTCGTCACCGAGGATTTCGTAGATTCGACAAAATGGGCTGCGTGTGCACTCCACTTAATCCCAAACTACTGCGCATTGAAAACAAACAGGGAAGTCGTGCGAAATGTCTCGGACATGTACAAATTTAATGCTGCGCGGAAGGAAGCAGAATAGCTGTCCGACGCCTGTGTAACAGGAGACAATCCTATACCGCGCAACCGTTTAACTACATCCGACTGCATGTAATTATTTTATACAATCGAAACTGTCTAAGACGACCGTCCATTGTTGAGGAAACAATCAGCCATCTTAGGCAAGTGGCCGTCTTACACGGCACCATTATAATATTTTAAAACATGCAAGGAATAAGATATGATAAGATAATACTTTATTATCCCAGAGGGAAATTTTTCTTGGCTGTACAGGGCCGTAAAAACACATGCAGGTATACATCTAAAAAATTTAATTTATACATTACTCTCATTAAAATTCAATATGAAAAGAAATGTAAAGCTGACGAGATGTACATTCACATCAGATGCATCATTCAACCACATCCAGGAATTTAATTACAAGACCTTTGAAGTTATATACTCTAAAGAGCAACACACAGCTAGGCCCATTCTGACAATAGTCTTATGCTAGATGGTAAAATAAAACGTCTTTTATATCTTTCTTTCTTTGTTTTTGGAAGTACATAATATCTGCCGCTGCGTGATCTGACAATTTGCGTGTAAAGGGGTTGTGATGGGTCGTTTGTAATGCTTTTATATTTTGTTATACTTGTGGTGCTATAAATTTCATCCATTCTATTAAAATTGCAGGATGAAATAGAAAGTGGTTGTTTGTACAGGTGAGTGGGAAGAAGGGAGGAGTTCGGCTTGCTCAGGACAAACTAGGACATTCTGCGTAATGACAACGTCACAAATTAGTTCAGTTGATATCATACATATCTACAGAGCCGATAGCCCTGGGTCAAATTCTCAACAAGGCGTTCACGACAAGAGTTGTTTTGGGGAAGTGTTTTAAAGCTCTCCACCCATTTGGCTTGCCCTTTTCAGGGGTGAACGTTAAATTCGGAGGCCCCGCTTCTTAAATAACCTTACAGTGTTGAAAGGGGCGTTAAATCTACACCATTTCACTAAGTCACAAACCAATCGCGATGCAGTGACGACAGGCTTTTCCAACAACAACTGCAACAACAAGCAGAAAAACCAATGAAGGGAGACAACCATAAAAATTATCCAAAAATATTTTACTATTATCACTTATCAGTCCATGTCAAATATCAGATAATAGCATCTTCTTGTTCCGCGAGATGTTGTGTTTTTCTTCTTCTTCTTTTGTTGTTGTTGTTGTTGTTGTTGTTTTGTTTGTTGTTTTTGGGTTTGTTTGTCTGTTTATTCACTTCTTTACATATTGAGTGTCATACTTCTATTTAGGAAGCAATCTCTGATCTGAGATATGTTTTAGTTTCTATCCTATGACTAGATTTGTTTAATACCTCATTTCAGGCTAGGTTTATTAACTTGATTTTTTTCTCTACTCTTTCTCTTTCAGTTTATGTTAAAATCTTTTAAAATTATTTCGTAAAGCCATGGGTTAAAGTAAAATTTCTCCTTCACTCTAAAAATAAGTTAAGAATTTGTCTTCACAAGCAGTGCATGAGGCCAAGGGACCCTTATGTGGCCCAACAAGGTTGGAGACCTTTATTGCGCGTGGTAGGTCAAGTAATTTTCAAACATAGGAGCTAAAGTTTGCTTTTACCCGGATGTCTTGGTACTGTGTGATGTGCTTCCTTTATTTTCTTCGGGATTTTTTTCCCCGTTAAACATGTCTTTGTTGTTGCTGCTGCTGCTGCTGCTGTTGTTGTTGGGTTTTTTTGTTTTTGTAATCGTTGTTGTTGTTGTTGTTGTTGTTGTTGTTTTTGCTTGTTGTTGTTGT